TTTTTTTTTTTTTTTTTTTTTTTTTTTTTATTAGTGTTAGAGAGTTTTAGATTAGACACGAGAGAGTTCTGATTGGCTCATTGGAATTTGTCTGATAACAGTTGTTGAAACAAGATATCAGCCATGTAGGCAGTGCGTTGTTTTCAGTGAGTCTGCTGACTTGATATTGTGTTGTAAGACCAGGGCTACACTGGCAATCAAATCTCTTTTCTGTTACTTTTAACTTTTTACTCCTTTCCTTAGCAGCACATTGAAATTGCTGTGCTACAAGTGAGGTTCCTGCCAACGAGCAAGTACAAATTTCATGGCAAGCAAAATGATAAACATAAGTATTTTGCTCTAAACCCAAAAACTAAAATGTACTATATCGGAGCTTTACACGCTCGATGTGGTGGGTGCGTTATTTAACTTTTTTTTTTTGGCTTTTATTTTTATCTGTTGACCCTGTCAATAATCCATTTCCTGTCTTAGAGGGACAACGCTCACTCATTGTACTGTGTCTAAGGAAAAGTCAAGGGGAAGTTACCATCTCACTGGATTGTCAGGAGCATGTACAAATACATTTGCATGTATTGGAGAGATGAATAGAATGTTTCCTTTGTACCTACACTTTTTAAATCTTAGTAGCAACATTATTGAATTGCCAGTATAGACCTAGCCCGACAGAGCAGTAAAGTTCATCAAAGCAGGACGCAGAACTTTGCATATGCAAAAATGGTTGCCCCGTGAACATGTATAATTACAACAACAAGGTTATTAAAACATTTGGCATATTGATAAGATTGTGTACACAAAGCTAAGAAAATAGGAAGAGATGTGGGAATGAGGCTAGTTGGAGGTTTATGATGCATATTACATTCTTCTCCACAAATATATTGTTAGATAAATGAGGAACTAGATCAAAAGCAAGCAATTTGAGAAAGTATTAATGGGGTCAACATGAAATATACTTCACTAAGCAAAATAAACATGTTGGGAACCACAGGCCATACTGAAAGCCTTAAAACCGATGTTTACTTGTAAGCCATCAAGGTTGACTTGTTAGCTAGCACTTGGGGGTATAGATCTGACTTCTCTTCTCACTTGTGTCCTACATTGTGGCATGAGCAAACGTTATCTTGTAGAAACACTGTCCCAATTCAGCACCACACCCGCCATCTCTAAGTTTGAGCTGAACGATAAGAATAGTTGTTGGCACTAGTCAATTTAGAGCTAGGGGCATGTTGAACAAAACTGGGCCTGCACTATGCTCTCTACGGAGTCATTCATTGTCTTTGTAGACCAGGGGTAGGCAACCTCGGCTCCCCAGCTGTGCTCAAACTACAAATCTCATAAGGCATTGCAAGCCACAGGCATGACTCCCAGAGGCAGAAGCATCATGGGATTTGTAGTTTCAGCACAGCTGGAGAGCGTTGTTGCCTTCCCCTGTTGTAGACTCTATAAGAAAGAATACAGGTTTGAATTTGGATGCCATTTAATTTGGAATGCTGGTTGTGTTTCATGTGGTGTTAATTTGTTACCGGCTGATTGGAACTTGTAACCCAGTTTATACTTTCAGAATAAATTTGAAATTAAGAAACTGTGCTTCTATTATTGGGGGTATGGGGTAGTGGGGTGGAATGAAGATCACTGGGAAATGAATGTAGCATTCTGGTTGTGCAGATAACCAGTGAGGAAGGCAAAATAAGCTGTTGGGTATTATGTTGAAAGCTAGTGAGGCAGTGCAATGTAAGTTTAGGATCAATGAGTTTTTAACCTATGGAAATGTAGTCAGAAATTTGACCTTTTTTTCCTTTTCCCCTTTTCTAGGAGTCCTACCCTTCTTCTGCACCAATATGGTTTGTAGAATCAGATGACCCAAATTTGACTTCAGTTTTAGAACGCTTGGAAGACATTAAGAAAAGCAACACATTGGTGAGTTAATCAGTTTGCCATCTGGTAGTGTAAGCCATCGTTTAGCATTCTTAGCACCAACTATTTAGATTTTTCCCAAATGGCAATATGTGGAGCTTGCTTAATAGATAACTATGGGGTAAGTATTTTTCCCCATAGTTCTCTTAAGGGTCTTGGGAGGACATATACCAACCTCCTCCCATGACCCAAAGCTCAGTACATAGTGAGCTACAGCTTGCGGTATACTGAGACCGCCGCAGCTGGGACTGGTCCCGACATTACTGTCGAGATCCACCCAGCTGCATGAATGACAGCTGGCTCTGCCTATCTAGAGGCAGAGCCAGCTGTGCCCGCCCCCTTTCCGTTCCTCCACTCAGCGCTGGAGGATCTGGGAGGTGGGGAATCCCTGCCGGGAGCCATGACTGACAGTCACTGCTCTCTGCAGGGAGATGATCAGGAAGTGAGCGAGCGATAGCATGTGTTCGCTCACTTCCCAATCAATTGAGCCGACGTGGGACAGTTTAATTGTCACACGCCGACTCGAAACTATGAAAGTGAGTGATTTTTCACTTGCCTCATAGTTCTTTTAATTCTGAACTTAATTTTTCTGTCTTTTGCAATAAACTAATTTCTCTTGTGCTTTTAACTCCCATGTCATACTAGCAATCCTGTCATTGACTTAGGGCTGCAACAACTAATCGACATAATCGATTATAATCGATTATTGAAAAAGTTGTCAACTTTTTCAATAATCGATTAATCGGCTTCCGATCAGTTGGCCCTGTTCACGGCTCCACACACGCTGTGCACTGCACCTCCTCATCACCTCACGCTCGTCGCTGCCAGACCCGCCCGCATCCACGCTCTTCACACCGCACCTCCTCCCCGCCTTACACTCACTGCCCGCCCACATCCACGATCGGCGCAGGACTAGAACTTTCCATTGGCAGGATTGCTAAAATGTGCAGGGTAAACGTTCACCTACTTGTATGTGTTGTATGAGCGCTGGAACAAAAACCTGTAGAATGTAGGTTCCAAACGAGAGATGTCTAGCTCATCCAGCCAGAGAGGGAGTGACACACAATCAATCAGGTGAATATGTCACTTCCCTGCTGTGTCAGACATAGCAATCCTGCCACTGACAAGTTTTCTCCCACAACAGGATCAGCTTTAAGGTGCATTATCCTACACGGTTGTAACTAGGGATGCAACATTACTAATATCTGTGCGACTACTGGGCATTTTCACTGGTACCCGTGAAAATCCCATGATACAAAGCGCCTATACCGGCCCTTTTAATTTTTAAATTCTTTCGGCTGCCATAAGGTCCTAAACTTGCTGGGAACCTTGTGGCGGCTGTTTACAGCGCCTTGTCCATATGTCTTGCAGCACTCCTTACCGGATATCCCAAAGTTACTGGTGCTCGTAATGACTGCGGATGGCACCACAAATCGTAGAACTTGAATCAAGATGTCACCAGCATGAGAATTCCAGACTCGTACAAATTCATTTATTTATAAATGTCACTCCAGGGTTGCAGCTGCGTCCTGGTGCTCCACCACTGTCCTAAAATCATTAGTCTGTATTTCAGAAAAACTGTCACATGATGCTAAAAAAAAAAATATCGGTACTCGAACTTGGTCTGGGAAAAATATGGTATTGATGCATCACTGGTTGGTACCATATAAATAGTTTTTGGGTTTTTTACAGATGAGCTTATTTGTGACAGTACATTAGCTTTCAGCGCTGACTGATAACATGGCTGACAGGGCATCCCCTGTTTTGGTATAACATGTAAGATACTGGAAAAAAAATGTATTGCAGGTTATTTACTTTTTGGTCTCTAAACGTTTAGTTACAAAAATGAGTTTCTTTCTTTTACTATAATCGCATGCTTAGCTCCTGTAAGAAGGAACATTGTACTCCTGGCATTCACTTTAAACTTATTGTACTCAAGTGTTTGATCTAATATTAAACATCCAGCAGCAAGCCAAATGCTCTGGGGCAAGGTACAGGTAGGATTTGCAATAAATGTATGTCCTTTCCAACCAAGTCATATGTAGACATCTGTTATAGGCAGTGAGCCAATTGCAGGAGCAGGCAATTGAAATGCTGGAAAATATTGTCTGTATATTTCCCTGACTACAGGAAATGAAATAAACTAATCTGCAGTAACTTTACATTAGAGAAAAACTTGCAGTAACATTATATATTTGTTTGTGTTCCTCTCTGTAGCTCTTGCAGCAGCTAAAGAGATTGATTTGTGACCTGTGCAGATTGTACAACCTCCCACAGCATCCTGACGTTGAAATGCTGGACCAGCCTCTGCCTGCAGGACAGGTATTCTTTATAGTTCCCTAGACATGTTAAAAGAAAAAACAGTCACAGTGCAGTGGAATACTATGTACATATTTTGAAATATTCTGTAATGCAGACATACTCAACATTATGCTTGGGTATATTATATGCTTTTTTTTATGTCTGTCTTTTCAATGCCTATGTCCTTTTGGATGATTTCTAAGCCATACTAAGATCATTGCTTGCAGTTTCCTATAACCTACAGATTCCAAAATCAGTGTTAGGCAATCTCTTCATGAAAAAGCGCACCAAGCAGAGTGAAAAGGCCACACATTGTCCAATTCACTTGACAATCTTGGGACAGGATTTTTATGATTTCATGGACTAACATGCAAAGCCATGTCAATATCTGCATCTCTGCGCTTACAAGTTCAGGGACAATTCTTGAATAAAACACGTGCCGATTGAATTCACCACATGTATCAAGGTTGCTTTTAGTATCCCTATTATAAGTGCCCTTCCAGTGCATAGTTGCATGCATAGGAAGGCTAAACTGGGTTTCTGTAGCCCTAATATGCCATCTAGCAGCACCAGAGTTGTCCACTTAAGTACCAATTGCATCTATAGCATCACATTACAAACACAGAGTAAGAGCAAAAAAAGACCAAGGATCCATCAAGTCTGCCTTTTTTTTTTTTTTTTTTTTTTTTTCTTTTCCTTTTTCAATGTTTTTTTTGTCCTGAGTACTGATCTATGTTTGTCCCATGCATGATTAAATTCACTTACTGTTGACTGACTCACTGCCTCTGCTGCTCCATGCGTGTCCACTTGGTAAAGTGTGTATGTGTCACTTAAACAGACCCAGATGAATCCTTGTCACCATTCTCTTTCTGGATGTTTACACATGCTTTACTATAGAATACACACCATACTTATGCATACTGTAAAACACAAGTGTTAAAGATCCATAGCTGATGCATAGTGTCCCTTGCACATGCGCACACATGTAGCTGTTGCATAGTGTCCATTGTGTGTGCAATTTTTAAAATAAAATACACAAATGCAGTGTTACAAACATAAGGTTTACTTCAGAATAAAACTGCATGCACAATTTTTTTGCTATCACACAGCATTGCCTTACTGTGCGTTCCAGTGTGGACATTCACACTGTGGGTGCCTCCTGACAAACCTGCACCCAATTCTATCTTTTGCTGCATGTGCTCCAAGATGGAGACTCTCATAGGCTAGAGTTAGGACCACATTATATAGAGGTGCCTTGATGAGACAGTGCAACTTTCACATATTCTGCAGAAGACGTTTTACTAAAACCTCTGTTTTAACCTTAGCAGTTAGACAAGTTTTTTTGCATGCTGGCTGGTGAGTGTGCTGGGAAACATTTTATTGTTGTACTGTATAAAGCTGGTTATGAGTTGATGAGTGTGTTTGCCATTTGTTTTGCCACACTGTAGGTGGGAGGCGCGTTTGGGGTGCCATTGAAATGAATGGTAGATAGATGAAAGTAGTCACTCGCACTCCATGATATTAAAGTCAATGCTGTTTATTGACTGAGATAACACACATCTCCTTAGCGACGTTTTGAGACCATGCGGTCCCGTCCTCAGGTCAAGCAGAGATTTTGTCTCTGTTTGCCTGAGGACGGGACCGCATTGGTCTCGAAACGTCGCTAAGGAGATGTGTGTTATCTCAGTCAATAAACAGCATTGACTTTAATATCATGGAGTGCGAGTGACTACTTTCATCTAGCTACATTTCACGGAGGCATCCGTTGTCACTACCGCACCCACCCAGTTGGATTTGGGTTTTTGTCCGGTCAGGAGTGCGATGGGACAGGAGGATTAAGATTGAAATGAATGGCACTGCAACGCACCTCCTGCAGCAGAATTTGTCAGGCTGAAACCAAAATTACTTTCCCACCTTTTTTTTTATAATTTTTAAAAATAATTGTATTGTAAGCACATGGCGCTAGAATAGCTTCAGCCAGGGAATGACAGCTGCCAGTGGCAAGATTCTGCAGATGGCAGCTGAATGTAAATACAGCAGGTAGTGGGCTTGTGCAATAGTCAGCCTGATATTGGCCATTTCAAATTGCAATAGCAGGCTGGCTATTGCACCCACTCACTGCTTGCTGTGCCCTCCTCCCAGCGTGGAGGAGAGCTAGGGGATCCAACTAATCGGTAATGAGAATAGTTGACAACTATTCCCATTATCAATTTATTAGTTGGTTGCAGCCCTAGTGCGCATGCACACATAGCTGATGCATGTCCCCTGCGCATATGTAATAGGTTAACACATAGTAACAACAACCTTGTGTTCAGATAGCCACCCAAAGACCCAAGTTGCAAACCCTCTTAGCTATGCACCTCACTGATCCATATTCAAAAACAAGACGCTAGGCTACTGACACAAGCACACACAGATGCATGCTAGGGCTGCTGGGACACACACAGATACTCGCCCTATGTCACCACCAAACACACAGTGGCACTAGCTGTGTTGATCATTGGATGTTTTTCATCGAGATGTCACTTAGTAACAATTGATGCGTTCAATTGCAGTCACTGAGACTGCAAATAGAGATTTCAATAACCATGTTGCCAGATGCATTTTTCGTCACCCTGGCGGAAGGGATTTGCCCTGTCATAAATGCTATCTAGGCTGAACACCCCTAAGCTTATTCCATACATTACCCTGAACATGACAATGAACCTTAACCAACACCTAACTCCTAATGCTGTCATGGCAAAAAAAAAACATAATTTCACCAATATAAGATAAACATTCTTGTGTTTTGAAACCCATGACGCACAAAAATCGAATGATCTAGAAACCCAACATGCATGTGGTTGATTGCATACATTACTACTTGTGTAGCCTCCCAGTGTTCAGGAGAAATGGCTGGTTATAGAGGTGACTGCAATGCTTTCCAGAAAATACTGCAACTGTGTTCAGCTGAGAAAGCTCATTCAGTTTACCCTAAGGATTGAGTTTCATAAAGGCTTTCTGTTGCAAGTGTGAGACTTCGAGTAGGCCTCTGAGCAGATCTGTAGCTTCTGTTTTTTATGTGCTGTATAACCTCTTGGCTTTCCAGAGACTAAGATGAATCAAGGATGTGTTTAAGAAAAAAGAAAAAAACTATTCTGGGTGTGCATAACTAGTGTATATAATTACAATTGCAAGGCATATTTTACTATACAAGAGGAGGTAGAATATGCATGAATATATGCAGAGGGAGGAGGCAGTGATGGTGGGCAGTATACGCAGGAGAGGAGCACAGAGGGTGCGATGGTGGGCAGTATGTGCCGGAGAGGAGCACAGAGGGTGCGATGGTGGGCAGTATGTGCCGGAGAGGAGCACAGAGGGTGCGATGGTGGGCAGCAAGTGTAGGAGAGACTTCATATTGGGCATGCTGAAGGTGGAAGAATATTGTGCATTACTGAATTATTTAAAGTAACATTTAAACTCTCCTTTGTTTTTGCATATATGTATTGCTAGCAAGCAGTATATGTATGCAAAAACATTTTTACCGAAAAGGTAGGTAGTTGTGTCTCCGTTGCTTGCTCCCGTCTGAAGATCTGAAGCACTTTAGAACATAATGGATCCCATCGCACTCCTGACCGGCAAATCCCCAGGAAACTGGGAGTGCTGGAGTAACCGCAGATGAGTCTGCGTATCACACATGTACATGGGAGAAAGTCACTCGCACTCAAGAAGTTTGCAGTCACTCTTTATTGACCATCAAAGTGTCACATTGCTTAGTGATGTTTTGAGACAGTGTGGTCCCTTCTTCAGGCAAACAAAAGTGTGAGAGTTTAGTTTACCTGAAGGGACCACAGTCTGGAAATAAGATTGACTGCAAAAGTTTTTGAGTGCAAGTGACTTTCTACCATTTACATTGAAGACCTGAAGCTTCTCAAATGGCCGTGCAGGATGATAGGGCAGTAGAGCTCTTTGGCCAGGAGAAGAAAAACGACACAGTTGAGCCAAATGCACGCAGTCGGGAGTGTGCATGTCGGACAGACAACGTGGGACCCGAGGCGTCTGTGCTGAATCGGAGACCGGCACCAGCGCTGGAGGGATTGCTGAATACAAGTGGAAGGAAGATGAGGATCGGATTCGGAGGCATCATTTAAGGCTAGTCATTAAAACAGTATGGGGGGCGGGGGGGTTGTGACTTTATTGTCCACTTTAATATGTAAAGTGGAACTTTAAAGAGTAAAGCTGTGATCTTCCTTATCGACGGCAATGTTATTTATAAATTAGTATGCAGGTAAAACATGGCAACTAGTGCAAGAGTGACTTAGTGATGTAGCACAGCAAGAACATTAGAAGGTAGAATAAATATATAAATACAGTGCATTCTAGAGGAAAAAAAGAATGGACATTTTGTGAAGAAAGGGTAAAAAGGTAAATTATAATGACAAGGTTTCCCTGTAGGAGAGAGCAGGTAGGGAGCAAGATTAGGGGCCCATGTACAGCATAACAGTGTCTGATGTTTTTGTGCATTGAGGGTTAGACCATGCATTTATTTTGACCTTCATTTACTTCAGGCACCTGGAAATAGTTCCTGCATTTTTTTTATTTTTTTTTAGTGTAACTCAATGCAACTCTTAAGTATATGCAATGTTGTGGTGTACGTTATGCAACTGTGTTGCATAACTGTATGTGTGTGTTGGAGTTAAATTTCATGTCAATGTCACACACTGCATCAATCTGAGCTGGTGCATGCAGACCGAACTAACAGCTTGGCAAGCATGTGACGCCAGACAGGAGGAAAGAACTGAGGTTCCAGTGAGATGACAAAAAAAGTGCTGGAAATATTGTGTGGATGCAATGTATTTCAGAGCAATATCTTGCAGCAAATGAGGGATAAAGTGGCGATATGGACAGAGAAGAATATCCTTTGTAGTGAAATTACATAGTAGTGTATACAGAAGACGAATAACTGGCATTATCAGGCCAGTGAGATATATAGAGCAGTTGGTTCTGTGATGGCTGGCAAGGAGTAGGGTTTATTTGTATGCATGCGTGGGAGTGACATGAACCGGATCGGAACAGAAGAGACAGTAAGGCTTGGAATGTTGGAGGGAGGTTATGAACACAGAATAAGGTTGCATAGTAATAGCAGTGGAGATGCATTATGTGAAAATTGCAGAGAAGAGCTATTTTATTTTACTGTTGATTGAGTGAGAGCCACTGAAATTGAAGGGCACAGGCCAAGCTAATCAGCGGTTGGAGTATTTGTGGTCTAGTTCAGTAGTGGGAAGGAGGCTGGATGGAGTGCCACAGAGGGGTGGGTCTTGTACAGCAAGGTTGTAGCTAGAAGGTGTGGTCATTTTGTAGCAAGGTTGGGGGTCGGGGGGTGCAGTCACTGTGCAGCAGGGTTGGTGTTGCAGGGAGGTTGGGGGTTGGTGGCGCAGGCACTGTGCAGGGGGGGTTGGTGGTGCAGGCACTATGCAGCAAGGTCGGGGGTGCAGGCACTGTGCAGAGGAAGGTTGGGTAATCAGGGAGCGGGTATTGTGGATTATAAAATGGGATTTGGCAGTAGAGTGTAAGAGGTGTGGAATGTGAGAGCACTGCAAAATAAGACTGAAATAAAGGGGAAATCCCTAATGGAGGCAGGATCACCCAGTGGCAAATCAGAAGTAGGACTTAATCATTATGACATTAAGGATATTCCACTCTATGCTTTTTTGTATTCGGCTTCCCTGTATTCCATGGAGTCCTGTTCACTGCCTACCTTAAACCACCATCTTCCATCTGTTATTGGTTGTGGTTCCACACCAGCCTTTCCCGAACGGGGTAGTGCGGAACCTTGGGGTGCCTTCTGGCTTCTTCAGAGGTGCCAGAAATGTATGCACAGAGTCATGCCTTTCTGTGGTACACCGGCTGCCAGCACCATGGAAACATTGACTCTTATCTGGAGAGGGTGTAAACCATTTACAAAATGACGGACATTTGCCTCCGTCCAGGCCTGCTCCGCTTCCTGCCCTCTCCTGTGCTGCTGTGACTCTGGACAAGGTTAGGACCCTGATGTGAAGAAAGGACTGAGGCTCCTGTTGTGAAAGGCGTGTTGGGGGACGCAACAAAGTGGGGTTTCCCCTTACATCTATACCAGACACTGATCTGGGATAAGAGTCTAGTGTGGAATTAAGAAGGGGCCCTGTTTTTTTTTTTACAGTTTAGATGGGTGCCTCAAGATTTTGCTTACTTTTAAAGGGTGCCATGACCAAATAAAGGTTGGGAGAGACGGTATGTAAAGTCTGGTAGTCAACGGGGCAGCAAGTATCAGCAGAGTGACTACTCACCCCTCATTCTTGAGCTGAAAAAATTCAGACACAAAAGTAGGGCTGCGGAAATTAACGATTAATTCCTCGATTAATCGTTTTTTGATCGGTACTCACCTCTCCGCCGGCTTCCGGGTCTTCCGTCGGAGATCTCCTCCCCCCTTCCCCAAGTAGCTCCGTCGGCTAATGAAGGGAAGGGGGGAGGAGGGGGTGGTGTGGACAGGGAAGGAATTGGCCAACATTTGAGCAGTGTATGGCCATCTTAAGGGGTAAGGAATTAAGAGCAGTCTGCCTCCACACCATATGACCAGTCCCATGGAGCAGCTAATCTTTGCAGCTTAAGCAATCATGGGTTCCCGAATATCATCATGTATCACCTACCTATGCCCTGCATTGTACATGGAGTCCAACTATGCCCATATATCAGGAGCATCAAAGAATGCAGTAGATTTCAGGTGGAAAGGAGCCAATGCCTTTTTTAATTTTTACAGCTGACTGGATTTCAGCTTTAAGAGGAAAGAGGGACCAAGGGATGAAAAAGAGGGACTGTCCCTTCAGATATGACAGTTGAGAACTATAGCAGCATGCAGCCCTGACTCTATAGCATGAAACATTTTACAGATCACCTGCATCTAGTCCAATGGGGAACTCTTGAAAATAGAAAAATGCCTCCACCATCTTTTGAGACGATCATCACGCTCCGTATAAGTAATGACCATTCTGACTATGGCTGGTTTATATATCCTAGGCAGTAGGAAAATCATACAGGTTCTGCACCCTACTCCATTTTCCCAGTGACCACACTAGCTAGAGGCAATGGGGGATCATGAGATATATATCGATAGTCCTAACTTGTCGAGATTTGGGACCGCCTGACTTCCAGTTTCCTTAGAACTGCGAGGTTTGGCCAAGAAAGTTCTTCTGCACGAGCGCCATCCGCGGCATTGCCCTATATACATACACCACAGCAATAAAGTACTAAAATTAACTAGGATCACAGTAATCCAGCATCTCGGGTGCCCCACTCAATATGGCCGCCGCTTGAGTGGGGCAACTCAGATTAATAACGTGCTGGATTACTGTGATCCTAGTTCTTTTTATTACTTTATTGCTGTGCTCTATGTGTATAGGCCAATGTAGTTGGATCTGTATGTGCGTTATTAATCGAAATTAATAGATTTTAAAAAATTTGATTAATCGAACACAAAAATTTTAATCAGTAACAGCCCTAAAAATAAGTAAACCTAAATAAATCAGCAAAATATAAATATTTAACTACATCTACTTTATAATAATTTGGATGCTTGCATAAGCCCAGTTATGTTTACTTCTCTTTTTAAAGGGCACCGTTACAACTCTTACACAGGAATTTGTTTTCTATGGGTAATTGCTCCAGTTTGCGAAACAGAAGTTATATATGTTATTTACATGGCAGCTTGTCTGATCATCTCATAATGGAAACTAAGTGGACTAAAGGTGTCTAATGGTAACTTTATGTTGCATCAATGAGGAAAAGGAAGTGTAGTTGCGTTGTGGTGGTAATGTATGTTCTAAGCCCCTAGTATCCAACCTGGGACCCCAGCAGCCAGTAGTAGGAGTCAGAACAATGATTTGTATACGAGCTGTAATGACAGAGCTATCCAGCAGTCTTGTATAACCTATCCCTTGTCTCTGGCTGTCTCCTAAAGCGTGCCTCCAGTTTTCAATCACCTCTTTACTATTTCCAGTCTCTGACCATCTACTGTAGTATGCCTGCAGTCTCATTTGTTTTCTGTAGCATGAATGTTATGTTAAGGTCCCCATGTACCTACTTGCTCTTCCTGTGTGAGCTTAATAAAACTTGCTCAATTTTTGTCTTTGCAGAATGGCACAACAGAGGAAGTCACGTCTGAAGAGGAAGAGGAGGAAGACATGGGAGAGGTAAGAAATGGAAAGACCTAATATTGTCTGTATTTTGATCTTGGTAGAAATTTTTTTAAATTGCTTTGTAGGTCACCCCCCAATTATTAGGAAGCAGTCATCAACCATTTTCACCACAAAAACGAATCCTTATATGTAGGCTAGGCGTTTAAATTACTTCTCCAGCCTCGAGATGGCATTTTCAATCTTTTAGATGGCAGTGAGCATCTGTTTCATACGGTAATTTTTGGATACAATTACAGTATTTTTTTATTTTTAAGTTGCCCATTTCTCAGTTTACAATAAACAAAAGTAATAATCCTAAGTAGGGTATTTATTATACTGGTGTAGCAAATAAGTCTTGATCATATATAAATTGATCACTTCTTCTGGTCATAAAAAGGTTAATCTTGCAAATTAGTAGCTTTCTCTTTCAATTTTAACTTTGTTGGAATCCCTTCAGAGTTTAACAACCCAAATAGTATACAAGCTTAAAAGAGAACTATGTGGAAAGTGTTTTTCCCTATAGTTCGCTTTAGGGTCACGGGAGGACATATACTAACCACCTCCTGTGACCCAAAGCTCAGTATATCGTGGGCTATTGCCTGCTATATACTGAGAGTGCCCCAGCCGGGACAGATCCCAACCATTGTCTCGATCCACCCAGCTACGTGAGTAACAGCTGACTCTGCCTCTTTAGATGCAATGCCAGCTGTGCCCGCCCACCCCTCTCCTCGTCCTCTCCTCGTCCTCTCCTCGTCCTCTCCTCGTCCTCTCCTCGTCCTCTCCTCGCATTGTTAATAAACAGATATTCTTATATATTTTCCAGTGTGCAACCATATTTAACCACTTGAAGACCAGGTGTTTAGACCCCCTTCCTGTCCGGGCCATTTTTCAGTATTCAGCGCCGCGGTACTTTGACATTTATTCTGTCATGCAACGCTGTACTGAAATTAATTTTATACCATTTTTTTGGGGACAGATAGAGCTTTCTTTCATTTTTTACTATATTTAGGAAAAATTACTGAATGTTTGTTTTTGTTTTTTTTACATGGTTAGGAAACCATTATTACCCAATTATTTTGCTAAAATATAATAGATGGGGTCACATTGTGTAAATGGACACCAAACATGTCAAGCTTAAAAATGTGCGCGCACCCGCGATATCTCAAAACTGCCATCCCCAAAATTGACCATAGGTGACTCTTTAAAAGCTTTTACAGATCATCAGTTTAGTGTTATAAGTGATTTAATGGCCCTAGAATTATTGCTCACTGCGACGTTCGCGGCGATATGTAACATGTTGCGTGGGTGGGGACTTTAACCCCTTCGTGACTGACGGCGTACAGTGTACGTCGCATGCATCGGGGCTGTTTAAACAGACTCCCGGTGACTTTTGCCGCCGGGACTCTGTTTAAACTTGTAGAGCCGACGGCTTTACAACAGAAGCGATCCTGGTGACTTACCTGTCGCCAGATCGCTTCTGCGTCCCGAAGAAGGGGCTTGTAAGCCCCCCCATGTGATAGCAGTCAAAGTAAAGTAAAAAAAAAAAAACCCACTTTATTGACTTTATTGCTATCAGATAGGGGGCTAAGTAACCCCCTTGTGAAAGCAAAAGAAGTGACAGGTCCTCTTTTATGGAGTCATCAGGTGTCTCCAAGACCCCTAATGTCACCTAGGACCCCACTGAAGCTGATGAAGCAGGTCTGCGGTGGCTGTTTACATACAAGAGGTCCAGGGGTCTGCAGAGCCGCCCGATTGCTGTATGTTGTGCCTTCGTGTGCCCCCCCCTCCGCGCGATCCTTGTGCTCCGTCCTGGCCAAGGACCGGCTCTGTGCAGGTAGATTGTAATGCCCTGGACTACAAATCCCAGAGATGTAAAGCTTATCTCAAAGCTTATCTCACTTGACTTCTGGATTCAGCTGTTACTCTCTGGCTACAGAAGGTCTCTGCTTCATCGGCTTCTTTAGGGGTCCCTAGGTGACATGAGTCATCTTGGAGACCCATGATGTTATCATAAAGAGTAGCTGTCACTGTAATTTGATAAAATTAGGTGTAACCAAAAAAAACCACCGAAAATGTTTTAAAGTTCATTGCATATCTGCGCAAACGTGTCAGGTGAGCCTATGTGCGAAAAGGACAATTACGCTCATTACGCCGCACATGTTACATATCATCACGAACGTCAGTGTGAGCAATAATTTTAGGGCCATTAATCATGGGTTAACACTAAATTGATGAGTGGTAAAAGTTTTTAAAGCGTCGCCTACGGTCAATTTTGGGGATGGTAACACCACGGGGCTGTAAACACCACGGTCAGGAATTGGCTCGTATTGCTGCATTATTATTATTGTGTTTTTTTATTTTTTGCTCTTCCGTTCATTGAAGGACACAGTGAAGTAGATTGTAGATGTGAAACCGCAGTGTATTGCACCACCTGCAGGAGAAGGATGCAGGAGAAGGATGCTACAAAAGACAGCCTAGGGGTGGCCCTGTTGGTGGCTGAACCCCACACCTGCTGATCAAGTCTCCATTTTTTTTTGCCTAGCGTCAGGAGTAAGAAGCTAAGAATTTTTCTCCAGAATTCTTCCCTAATTTTTTTCCTCTATTTTGGCTTGATCTTCAAGCAAGTGCCATCTGGGAGACACGACGTATGATCGTGGATCCTTTAAGCCCTACCCAGGCCATCGGGCGCATGCAGAATCTGCTATGGTGTCTAAGCTGCAAATGCTCTTTATTCATGGGGTGGCCTGTGGGATTCTCTCCCAGTGGGGTACATATGACTGGGGGGTCTCGGCTGCCCAGTTACAGTACCCCACACAGGCAGGCGGTGCCTAGACTGTCTGTAGTGGCCTGCCGTTTCCTGCGCACCCCTTGTCTATTACTGCGGTATCTACCACTATCCACATGGCGTGTACGACACCTCGATGGATGGTACTGTCATCTCCCCTAGGGTCACCTCCGTCTAGTTATGGTGGGTAACTATTGGGCTGGAGATCTGGCGATCATGGGGCAGGGACATCTGGTGCTGTGGGCTCTCTAAGGCCCGCGAGGTGGGATCCCCCTCTAGGGGTGACCCCTTTCACCCCACCCCTCTACGGATTACGGTGGTTGAGTGCTGGGAAGCCTGCTATTTTAGGGGACCCACCCTTGTCTAGGGAGGTCTCCTTTTTAATGCGCCGGCAGTGCCGGTTCTCAGGCCTGTTTGGTGGGCGGCTGCTTTTTCCCTCTCTAAGGCCCGCGAGGTGGGATCCCCCTCTAGGGGTTACCCCTTTCACCCCACCCCTCTACGGATTACGGTGGTTGAGCGCTGGGAAGCCTGCTATTTTAGGGGACCCACCCTTGTCTAGGGAGGTCTCCTTTTTAATGCGCCGGCAGTGCCGGTTCTCAGGCCTGTTTGGTGGGCGGCTGCTTTTTCCCTCAGTTGGGGCAGTGCCCTGAGCAGGGCAGACCCCGGTGCTGGGCATTGGTTTGCCCTGTGGTCGTGCTTTTATTTTTTTTTCTGGCCGCCCCGATTGGTGCAGCAGGTGGTTGGAGGAAATTTAGACCGCAGCGGGTGTGCTGCCGTTTCCGGGGGTCTGCGGGAACTCAGGCAGTAGCGGCCCACGGTGCTATACATTCGGATGCACCACGGTCACGCCAGTGATTCAGGCTGCCCCACTTGGTTTGTCGGATGGCAATAATTTAGTCCATGGCTGCGACCTTTGGCCGCCCTCTTTACTGTGGGCAGCCACCCTTCCCTGATCCCGGCTTTCTTCTGTTACACGCTGAGGGGCTGGAATTCAGTCTTGGCACGCCGAAGGGTATTTACTACTGCGGATGGTGTTTGCTGGGGCTGCTCCATGTGGCTGCGGCAAGGACACGTGGTGGGCTTTGTGGGGGCCGTGAGTGTTTTGCTGGACTTCTCCCTTTTGATGTGGTCTCCGTGGGTGCTGGTGGTCTGTTTTGGAAGGGCATTTTGCAGTCATGGAGTGCAGGGACGCGGTCTCTACGGTGGCGTGCAAGGGATGTTGCGTGGCTCACTCTCAGTCCCCTTTTTGTGCTGCTTGTCTGACGGCACCCCGTCCCCATCGTTAGGGCTGCTTTCGGGCCCTTTTCTGTGGGCCTCGGTTGTCCCAGTCAGACGCTATCCTTTTTGAGGCCTTTTCGTTCGTTATGAACTGTTTTGGCGGATTGAGCGTACCTTGGCGCAAGTACCTTTCAAGAAATGTTGAATGCCTTCACCCTCTCCAACCCCTATGAATGGTTCTGAGGTGGAGGAAGAGGTATCTGCGATGTTGGACCATCTTGCTCCTGGGGATTCTGCAGAGGGGTCAAGCAGTAAAGGTCGTCCACCTCTTGCTCTAGGAGCGGGACTTGATTTCTGCCCTTTAGTTCAGGTTCGGAAGCCCTTGAAGATCGAGCATGCTCCCGGTTCTTCTGAGGTGCCAGTTTATTTTGACACTCTCAACTTGGGCGGTCGGCAAGGGGTTTTTCCATACATCAACTTTTTCATGATTTTCTTTACAAGGAGTGGGGACGGCTTATCTAGTCTTTGCCTAAATGTTCGTACGTTCGCTATTCCTTTTGAGGAATCTTTTCCTGGAGTAGTGGTCTACTGCGCTGGTGGATCCACCAATCTTGCACCTTTTAATAAAGGCTGCAGTCATTCCTGTGGAGGATTCCTGGTCTTTCTGGGTTCCCACGGATCGGAAGGCAGAGGCTACTTCATGAATTATGTATGTCATCGCTGGAGCTTTTGCCACCCTGTTTTCGCTTCAGCCCCGATATCTCAATATTTACCTGATTGAGCTAACTGTTGCCCCAGGGTCTTGCTGGTAAACATGGTTCTCCCGCCTATGTCGACGACCTACTGGTGCAAAGTTTGTGGCGCTTGATGCTGGTCAGTTTGTGTCCAAATTGTCGGTTCTGCTGTTGTGCTCTACAGATTGCTCTGGCTCCAGAGTGCGCTTACCAAACTGATCTTTACGGGGGAGTGATCTCCGGATGAGTTCGGGTGGATCCTGCACTGCAAAAAGTCCCATGGCTGGAATATCTGGGGCTGGTCCTGGGCCAGGATGAGATCGATTCTTTGAAGTGGTTCTCTGTGAGCAACATCATGCCAGGACCCTGCAGAGCAACATCTTGTCCCATTGGAACAAGTCTCCATCTTCGCTGGACAGGGAAACCTCAGTGAGTTGGGATATCCGGGCTTCTCTTCTTTAGTGGTCATCTGAGGATTCCTGCCTTCCAATCAATTTGTTGGAACTTGGGCTGTGATTGTCTCTCCAACACAGAACTTGCTATCTTCAGGGTCTGCCGTTTTGGGTTCGATCGGACGATGCTATGGTGGTGGGTTGCATTAACCATCAAGGTGGAACAAGAAGCGCAGCGATGGCGCAGGAGGTGTCAGATTATCTCCTGGGCGGAGAGTCATGTTCCGGCTTTTTCCCTGGTGCAGATCCTGGGGGTAGACAATTGGCAGGCAGATTACCTCAGCTGCCAGTCTGTGCATCCAGGGTGGAGTGGCCATTGCATCCAGAGGTGTTTCAGTGGATTGATGTCTGCGCCCGCTTCACCTAGAAGGTCTCTCGGTTAGTGAACAGGACCTAGGATCCGTGGGCGGATGCACTGGGAGCTCTGTGGGACCGGTACACTGCTTTATGCCTTCCCCCGGTGTAGCTTTTTCCCCTTCATCTTTGCAGGATAGAGGCTGTGGGGATTTCCTGTCTCTCGTGGGCGTGGGGCATCTGGTCGTAGATGCACCATGGCACCTGCCACTTTGGCCGCATCTTCTGTCTTAGGGTCCGGTCTCCTACCCTGCTTTACAGTCTCTGGCTTTAATGACGTGGCTGTTGAAAGCCAGGTGTTGAAGGACCCGGGGTTTTGCCGGATTAGGTTATTCCCACTATGCTTAAGGCGCATGTGGCTACTTCACAAACATTTTACCACGGTTTTATTCGGGGAGCAGAATCTGACTTTTCTTCAGCATGGGGTGGATCTGGGTCTAGCCCCGAGCGCAGTTAAGGGCCAAATTATTGGGTATGTCCATCTCCTTTCAGCGGGCATTGGTATGCAATTCCCTAGTTCGTACTTTTTTGTGGAAGAGCTTGCACATCGTTCCCTCGTCCGGTCTACGTTACCCCCTCTGGTTTTACATTTGGATCTTTGCTGTTGTGGGAATCTTTATTTAAGAATTTAAGAGATTCTGCTGTTGATTCTTGTCGCACTAGGTGTCTTCCTTTGGTGGCTATCGCCTATGTAGGGCCTTGTCGTGCAAGTCCCCTTTTCTGGTTGTTCGCCGAGATAAGGTTGTGCTCTGACTCGGGTCATCTTTTCTTCCTGAATTCGATTCGGCCTTTCATCTTCATGAGGCTATTCTTCCTTTTTGTTCTGGGCTTGCCCATCGGAGAAAGATCTCTACATTGCTTAGTTATTCAAGCTCTTCGTGTCTATTTAGATAAGGCATCTTTTCGTGAATCGTATTCTCTGTACCTGGACACAGATGGCTATATCTCCTGTCGCTGTCATGTGTTGGATTCGCAACTCTGTGGTTCAGGCCTATGCTATCAGGGGTTGGGAACCTCTTTTTTCCTGCTGCAGCTCATTCAACTAGGGCTGTCGGGGCGTCCTTGGCCTTTGATCTTAGTGCCTCCGTTGCTCAGAGTTGTAATGTGGCCATTTTGGGTGCAAGGTTTAGCAGGCAACCCTTTAGACGTTCTTGTGTCTCATATTGCACTGCTTTGTGAAGTCCCTGTGGTTTCAGATCTAAGATCTTCAATGAACGGAAGAGAAAAAGGATTTTTGTACTCATCGTAAAATCCTTTTCTCTGCGTTCATTGAAGGACACACTATCCACCCTCTCTATGTGGGAATTTCTCTTTACTGCTTGCTACTTACTGGAGACTTGGTCAGTAGATGGGGGGGTTGGCAACCAGCAGGGGCCACCCCTAGGCTTTTTTTTTATTTTTTGTCCTTTTGTTGTGTGCCTAGCGTCCTCCTGCAGGTGGCGCAATACCCTGTGGTTTCAGATCTATGATCTACTTCACCGTGTCCTTCAATGAACGCAGAGAAAAGGAATTTACGGTGAGTACAAAAATCCTATTTTTCTTTTAAGGATATTGAAGATCTGGATCATTATGACATGAAGGAAGAGCCAGTTGATGGTAAGAAGTCAGAGGATGAAGGCATTGAAAAAGAGAATCTTGCCATCTTGGAGAAGATCCGAAAGAATCAAAGGCAGGACCACCTTAATGTGAGTGATAAAGTATTGGATATCGTAAATTGGAAAAGCAGCCCCCTGCAAAATGTATTCATTACTGAAATGTTTAATAAATTGAAGAGGAGCTCCAGTCAAATGTGAAATCAGACAGTTGACCCTAAACC